AGATAGTTCCTATCCATCTTACTCCCACATAAAAACGATATTGAATGATCGTGCAGAAATGGTGTTGCAAAATCTTAGACAAAAGTATCCCTTGCATCCTATATTTGCGATGTCTGATGATTACTTCAATTCTTGGAGAAATCAGTATATGTTTTATACATATTGGGATTACGAAGAAGTAGAGCAGATTTTGATTACACTCGAAAAAAGTTTATTTAATCAATCGGCTTGGCATAGAGGACAATTAGATCTATTATGGTTAACACATGAGGATAATGAATCTTTTGTAAGTTATTATGTTATTATAATAAATTATTATGTTTCATTATTCTATGAACTGATAGCTATACTCATTGTTTTCATTGTTATTTATGGTATAGGTTTCAAGAAAACAAAAAATATACTTTCTAGCGATATATCATGCTATATTGCGAAGAGTTGGAATACACTCCGTTGTAAATTTCGAAGGCTTTAAACTTCGAATTTATCTGAAATCAAGGTAAGCATAATTTTAATTTGAGAGAGAGAGAAAGAGAGAAAGAGAGAGAAAGAGAGGAGAGAGAGAGAGAGAGAGAGCAAAAGAGAGAGCTATTCGATCTTTCTGATTTTTATTCTTATCACATACGCGTGCATATTTTTTATTTTTAGCATATCACAATTTACAATAAGTTACATAATTAATGTCCATAAGCATAAGCACGCGCGCAGCGCGCGTCTTTGTTGTTCTAGTGATGTTTAGAAAATATAATATCTTTAAGCATAATATTCTTGCTTCTTTTTTAGTAATTATCATTGGTCACGCGTATGTGTGTTTGTATGTTGCCTGTATGTACATATATTTTCTTTATGTTCTCAGCCTAGAATATTTTTATGTGAGACACAAGGATGGTCGATTCGACATAGATGATCGTATTCGAAGATATGATCGTATCCGAAGAGATGTTCCTATAAGAAGCTATATTGGAATAGAGTTCATTTTTGATCCAAATATTTTCAATTTGTCTATTAATGTTCCATTAAATGTGTTACAGGTGAATAGTTTCGAAATTATTAATAACACAAAAATATGTTTTGGACAAAAATTGCTTCTATGAATGGTGGATATCTGACCACGTGATCAGTTATATAGCTTAACATTATTTTCAAGATCATTTCAAAGTCAATCCAATTTTTTAAAATGATATAGTATACTTTTGTTGTCAGCATCATCAAAAACTTTTCAAGACAATTTCAACAACCCTAAATAATGTATCATTTATCGTGGAATTAGTGAGAGACCAAAGCGCGAATACGCAGTGGCAGCGCAAATCCTGTTAACTTACCATTTTAGAAACAACACAAAGAAAAACTACAGACTCTCTTAATCATTCATTATTACAAATATTCAAATTGATGATCATTTCAAATATTTTACAAGTCTTTCACGAAGATTGGATCTTACCCTTGACAACATTTATTTTCAATAAATAGCAGAATATACTGAAACGACGAAAAGTTTGTACACATGAAGAAAGGGAGTGTGAATGTCAATATTTATAAGTTAAAGCACAAGTAATACGATGCAAACTCGCGCTAATTTAAAATTTAGGGGCTCGCGCTGCCACAGTGTATTCGCGCTTTGATCTCTTCTTAACTTTATGATATTAATTAAATGGTACATTATTTAGAGTTGTTGAAATTGTTTAAAAAAATGTTTGATGATGCTAACAACTAAAGTATACCACTCTGTATATGACTTCTATTAATTTAAGCAGTAGTTAATATAACCATCAATCAATTATACATCATTATAATCTTTGTAGAAAAACATATTAAACTAATATAAATTATTGTTTATGAACAATAAGAAAAAATAACAAACATTTTTTCACATTTTCTTATCGATAATTAGAATATTATAAGTCTATTTCTTAAGATAATAAATACATGTAATTTTTATTGGACTTTTTAAGATAAAATATCTGTTTTTTTCAGGTAGAATCGACATTACTTAATCTTTGGTCATCTGAGTCAAAAAAAGATTTGCAGGATACATGGAAAACAGATCAGGATGTCACTTACCCAGACATATTAAATATAAAAGTAACTTACTTATATTAAGGCCGGTATTCATAGTCCATTTTTATATTCAAGTCTTAAGTGTGGTCTTGGGTTGTTTTAAGATCTCATTCAACCAATGAAATGGCCGCTTAGCATTTTAAGATCGTACTTAAGACGATCTTAAATATAAGAACGGACTATGAATATCGGCCTATGTCTATTGCACTAAAATATAAGAATGAACACTAATTACATAATTATCTGAAATTTAAATCGATACAAAAATCAATTTAAAAGTCATTTAAAAAAAAGGCGTTAGTTAAATTCTAATGTTACATCCTTCTTTCA